GCGAAACGTTAGGAAACAAAACTTCAAGAACACGGCCACACAGCCCGGAAGACCCACACCTTTCAAATACTGGTTTTTAGATATGCAAAATGGCACAATTCAATTAGTTAATTTGGAGGAGCCCCAAGATTTGCTGAGGTAGGAGAAATTCTCTAATGGGGTACCCCAAAATCAGTGAATCTATTTAATTGTTAAATTGGGAAGTTATGAAGGAGCCATAAAATAGAATATCCAGGAAGAAGGCAGGGTTCCAGCCTGGAATAAGTTCCTTCCCCTATGTTCTTGCTTGTAAGGTTGCCACAGGCTCCTGAGAAAAATTTGATGGTGGATCACATTAGCATCTGCAGTGATATAGGCTCTTCTTATACTCTCAATCACTGGTCTTTATGAGCAAAACATTTTCTGTTCATTAGACCTTCAAACAGCCAAACGATGCAGTCTTTCTATGTATTACACAGAGGGAGCTTTGCACTGATCAGATAAGAACCGTTCTACTGCTATGCGGCCTTGTGAGATATGAATAGGGACTTCACCCAGATTTGATATATTTCACTTGTACAGATCTGCCTGGCCAAGAAACTTCTAGCACAGGCGAAACTGGGTGAAAACTGATAAAAGCCAAAGTTTAAGGGCTAAACTATTATACCAAGCAAAAGAGAAGTAATGTTTTGATTAATGCATCAGGAAATAACTCTTAACTGAATTGATTTTAACCACATTGTTTTGTGTTGCTTCTTCTCTAAGAATGTAAATATCTCCATGCATAAGCTCGTTTGTACCACAGGAAAACTTTTAAATAAAACTCTATTTGCTTCGATATAAAATACATTATATCAAAACTTAGAGCTTTATTATTTCAATGACAATATTCTGAAATACACTGAAATGTTGCTTTGAAACATATTGTCAAATCTAGACAAATACACATAGAAAATCTCATGGACTCACTGCTTGAATTCTCTTCTTTTCCCATACTAAAAGGTGGAAGGCAAACGGCAACATTCAGAGCTAGTAGGATGATGAGGGGATACACTCTCAGCTAGAGTAACTAGCTGTTTCTAAACCATTACTGCTATGCTACCGCGTCCAAGGAATGCGACAGAACCAAGCAAGGACAAAATGGTCTTCACTGTGGACTACCTTAAGCTTTCTTGCACATCCAATTCTATTCTGCCCTTGCTGAAAAAAAGACAGTTCCCAAATAAAAATCTGAACGGCACATATAACAGAGCCTTGCAAGAAAAGGGTTATTGCTGCTGAAGCATATAATGTCTCCTGCTATGTCTGCAAGCCAAGTTACAAAATACTTAGCTAGCTCAGCCTTCCTCCAATCTGGTGCCCTCCAAAGGCAGCAGCTCATAATTCCCAGGCTTTGGACTGAGTTGAATTATTCGAGTTGTATTCCAGCACATTTGGAGATTGAATCTGGCTCCTAATTCATGCATGAATACAGAATGGAGCATAAACCTTTTTCTTATAGAACTGACTGAGTGCGAAGATAATGCAGATTATAACTTTTAATGTTTAAGTTATCAATTCTTAAGATACTACAGCTACCAACAACTTTTGATTGTTGTTCTTTATTCTCTTTTCATTATTCTACTTCAGCAAAACATATTTACTACACTTTCTAACTTCAGATGACCCTGCATAAAGAGTTCTTAAAATGAAATTAAAAATAAGGAAAAGAAGATGAAATGTCCCCCCCCTTTTTTTTTAATCAGGATAATAAAATGTTCAAACCCACTGTAGTTTCTATGTAAGGTTATCTGTTACCAAGGCAACAGTGCATGTCTTAGTACTAATGGCCTGTCCTTTTGCCAGGCAACAAACAGCCTTGTGATGTAACTGCACCTGTCTCAGCTATGCGTTGCTATGGAGGCCTTCTAGTTACTATGGTAACCATCACGCTAATCGCCTAGCAAGGGCAGACATACAGCCGTTGCCTGCAAAAGCCCAGCTGTTCTTCCCAATCTCTGCCTGAAGATTGATTGTTTGGGCCATGTGATGGAATGCACGGCTCAGCAGAGATGCTCAGGCACTTTATTAGAGTTACCAGAATGAAATTACATTGCATGTTGCCACTTCTTAAAGGAGTATTATAACTGAAGGGTGCGGAAGTGCAACTGAACTCCCAAATCTCAATTCTAATAAACATTTAAAAATTGCTATCAGACAATAGTTCTTGTAACCAATGTCTGTAGTCAAGGAAAAAAAATGCATGCATGGCTCTATTTTATACAAATTTCACAAAACATGTATTATTTATAACTACCTAACATCATGGTAAGTACTGCAGGGATTATGGACTCCAAACTTCCTGTACCAAACCATGTATTTTCAAGCAGCTTTGGCATATGGCACGTTTTACATCCAATATATATATACCATACCTTTTTTCCACCTGAGTAGGACAAAAAGACAAACTTATCCATTAGGGTTTTTTTCCCCCTGCCATTTTAAAAATACCAGACCTGACTGGCCCTTTTACCAAACAGAACAGCACTATGACAACTAGTATAATTGTTTACACTTGCCTTGCAGAGCAGGTAACCACAACAGCAGCAGTTGAAAAAAAAACAAAACGATACTTTCATCACCTGGAAGCCAAGTTTATATAAGGCAATCGTCCAAACACAGTGTTAGAGAAAAAGATTTGGCAGCAATCTATCTACTCATGAAAGAGTAAAATGAAAAGCTAGAATCTTTTCTTGTACTTCATAGACTTAACAGCTTCTAACACAAGTACATGGATTTTTGGTAATAATTACAGAAAAGGTGCAACGCAGAGCAATTAATTGCAGCGGGCATGTGGCTTTCATCAAAACTGGTAAGAAATTCTGTAGATCAAACTAGGGCTTTAAGAACGCATATGGTCTGACAACAGGGTGGGGACCTACCAAGTTTTTTTTATAACTAATATAACCATTCCTGACTGGGATTGGCAGATTCTAGTATTTTTGTTGACTATCAGATTATTCTGAGAGGACCACTCAGTATAATCAGTGTACTCTCAAAAAAAAATGCTGGGTGAGCCTTATTCTGAACAGCAATGAGTGGGAACAACCTTTCTATAACTGAGCCCCAACATTTCATTTCATTTTATTTTGTCTCAGAGGTTGCCCTAAACAGGGCAATCCTTTCCTAGTTCTTTTTTCCTTATTTTTGTATGGGGGTATCTCAGAACTGTGGGGCTAAGAGTTATTTTACTGTTTTAAATATATTCTAAGGCCTATATATTAAAGTAACCCTTAAATGTAAGTATATATGTATGTATATATGTATATGTATATATGTGGATCTGGTTCTTGATTTTTGCAGTAGTGGACTCTGAAGGGGGGGTGGGGGGAAACAATCTGACCATTACATGCAGTTCACTGGATGCAGTTTGATCACTCCTAGTTAGGCCACTTATCATATATTAGTTATATTTTACTAATTTAAAAACTGCATGTATACATTCCTGCTTCTAAATTTAACATATTTAAACAGATGAATCCACTCGCAAACCTGAAGTCAGTACACAGCTGATTTACAGACTCTGCCATGGTTATATAAAGGTATAGTCAAGTTTTCTTACCTTTGATATGCCTGAGGAGATGCTGGAGGTGTGCTGAACACATGGGAATATGGGTGATAGGGTGTCTTTTTCAAAGCCTGGATAAGATTTTGTCTATATTCTGGGTCTATACACCACAAAGACCCCTTCCCAATACTCTGCAGAGGATGATAAAAAAAATCATAATTTTAAAATAATGTTATTTTGCACATTTCTCAGAACACTGAGAATATTTCTTCCTGTTCATAAAGGAAAGCAGATCTCATTTCTTTGACATAAATTTCAGAGAAAATTCTGCTGCACTTCAGTGTTAATGTTTAGGAGACATCAGGGCTATCTGATATTATATGAAAACTGTGAAAATAGCTGTTGTTATACTTACTTAAGTAATTTTAGAGGAAATTCTTTTTCCCCACCATAAACACATGTTCAACTGAAAAAAAAATTTTTTTCCACAGCCCAGTTTGACAATGAATAAGCCTCTGAGACAGAACTTCTATCATGTGGATATTCTAAAAGAAAATTGAAGATGGTGGTTTTGAACTCAACCATCAATGAAATAAATTAAATAAAGTAGTTCTAATTGTATAGCCAGAAGGCATTAATGCCACTTTTTACCATTATCATTAAGACATTATCAACTTTTTGCCCTGTCTGATTAATACCTTCAGCTCCAAAAAGTAATAACTAAAACAAACCTGGGTAAACATATTTAGAACTGTTAGCAGTCTAGGTGGTCTGCAATATTAATGTTTTGGCAAAGACTAATTATTTTCCAGTTTAGAAAATTTTAGCTGTATTGCACTAATACACTGAGTGGTCAAGACAACTATGTTTCAGGACCAGATCCCTGAATTACTAACCTGGGGCCCGATCCACCAGAGGCAGGCAGCAAACATCAACAGCCCTGATTCTGGCCTTGGCAAAAACATGACTAGAGTTGGAAAATACCCGACCGATTGCTAAAACTGACAAAAGCAATGACAACAAATCCTGAGAAAAAAGTACCTGTCCTTAGTATGCTATTTTCTTCTTGTAAATTGTTCTGTGAAGTTTAGTAAGTTATTGCTCCGCTAGCAAGATGATGCAGTCTTTTGACCTCAAGGGTATTTATGGCTTACCCTAGGCCTGTTACCCACTGATATGAGGGAGGGAAAACATTGCACCAAAGCAGCCAAACATGTTATTTATGGATGACCCTTTTATTGTGGATACCAACTCTCTCCTTTTTCCCTCGTTATGTCAGCTGCTTTTAAAACATCAGAAAGTATGCTGGATTCCATCTGGACTACAGCTTACATCACTGCAACGTACAAAGAGCATTATTTACAATATTATATAATAGTGCAGAAAAAGTACATAAAGTATGCATCTTTACCTTAAGCCTGTCTGATTGGCTGCATTTAGACTTAATGCTAAGCCAGGATTTTAAAAACCACTGTTTGTTGAACAAACCATTGGTGCACACATGTTAAAAGTAAACAAGCCACAATATATCAGAATTAAGCTCAACTGTTTATGCTGCTCTTCATATCTAGATATTCCCATGACAACCTACACCACAAAAAGATCAAAATAAAAATTCAGATTAATTAAAATGAATAATAAAACACATTATACATAATAAAATCAATAAAAGCATCTGCTAGAGTATTTGTAATGTTTCTATATATTTATTTAAAAATTAGCACATTACATTGATTACTTGTTTTCAAATTGATTGGTTTTGGATATATTTCTGTGAGCCCCCCAGAGAGACATTAATTTTGCAAATTTATTTAATTTACATGGTCACCCATATTGCAGTACTGACTCTGGGTGGCTAACATAACTGTAAGGCCTGCTTCTGGGTAGCCAGTTTCTGTACCTAAGCATGAAATGGTACTCAAAACCATGACTCTAAAAATAATCTTAGGATATGGAATGCCCAAAGTTGCTCTTGAGTGAGATGGGCGGTGACTAAATTTGAAATATAAATAAAATAAATAAATGAAAATATAGAAGAAGCATTCCTTCAGGCACTAGGGTTCCCATTCATGATGGCCTTTACAGTTTACTACCTGTACCTTGATGTGAGACTGGAAACAAAGAGCCGGTGAGATTTGAATAAAGCAGATATAATATGTTCATAATGAGAACCAGTTTGGTGTAGCGGTTAAGACATCAGGCTAGAAACCAGGAGTTCTAGTCCAACCTTAGGCACGAAGCCATCTGGGTGATCTTGGGCCATTCACTCACTCTCAGCCCTAGAAAGAAGGCAGTGGCAAACCACTTCCAAAAATCCTTGCCAAGACTTCCCATGCAGACATGGTGGCTTAGCCATCTGTGACCAGGGAGATGGCACCACAGCTGATTGGCAGCTAGCAGTAAGCGCTAGCCAACCAACTTGCTCTGGATTAAGGAGGAAGGGAAAAAATCGATCCTTGCGGTCTCTGGACAGCCATTCCTCGAACGCTAATCATGAAGACAGCAGCTTCTGCGAATGGCTTTTGACTCAAGTGCCTGGGAGGTGGGGAATCCATCTTATTCAAAGCTGTGGTGCAGCCTTTCATGGACAGTAGAGCTGACCGAACCTCATTTCTTAAGCACTCTGGATTATGACTATTTTTTAACTTAAGACAGACCTTCCTTGCAACAGATAAGTAATTCTCTTGGGGTTTATCCTTATTTTTGAGTTTATATATTTAAAAGACGAAATAGTTTTAATTTTAATCTGATTAATTTGCAAAAAGCTGGATGAAAAGTGGAATTTAAAAGGAACTTAAAATCCATTTATAGCAAAAAGGGAGAAGATCTATTTGTTAAAAGTTTATTTTTATGAAACTCCATCTGCATTAATTGGATTTGATTTTTCTATGGTAATTTTTGTTTTGTTTTGTTTTTCTGCAATATGTTTCCTGATTGGCTGGACTTTTAAAACAGAAGATAGTAATTTGAGCCCTCTGTATATGTTTGGCTGGAACGTTTGTGCAATTACAGGGTGAAAGGCACTAGAGGGCATGAACTGTTTGCTACTTTCATTTATACTTCCTACGGTTGTTTGCCTAGGGGAAGAGAAAAAATAATAATAAGAAAAAGGCTAGAAGAGGCTCTTTGGAGCAGCCGTCAGAGGATAAAATTACTTCTATAAGGTTAATCCTTCTAATACTCCTCCCCTTACTGTACTCGACAGCCCAGTATCAGTGGTAGAGTCCTTCAAGTTCCT